TTTAAACGCCGCTTTGAAGTGTTTCGGTTGTGTCAGCTTGATGTGGGAGGAAATCCCGAACTGATGCAGGTCTTGGATGTTTACCACTTTGGTGAAACCCGCGAGCACTGTGTTGTGCTTACAAACCCAGACACATAATCAGGACAACCTAGGTTTCGAACCTACGACCATCAGGTTTGGACACGAAAAGGCACGCAAATTGCAGCGCCTTTCCATCTTCGCCACTCACGTGCCCAGATTGGTTCTGAATAATGGCACATGACTTGAGCATGATGTCATATACTATTCGAACACTCATTTATACATCGCAGATGTCCAGATACCCCCCAATACAACACGTGTCTTCGAAGTGTCATCAAGCCTAAACGATGCAACAAGAAATTCTTATACAGACGACCCCCGTTTGCAACCAACACACTTTTCAAAAGTATTTGACAGTTGGGACACGATAGATCAGCGTCAGAGACGCCACAATTGCGCCCCTTAGTCTTGCGCGGGTCCACTGGTCGTGGCTTTGAATCCCAGACTGGCCCTGCTTATGATCCTTGGACTGTCATCACCAAAACATTTGGTTGGTTTCAGCAAAGTTGACAATGATTACAACCTGTATGACAGTCATTCAACATAAACGGACATACCGACACCCCCTCCCTCACAACTGCACAAATACGACTGACATATCTTTATAGAATAATGAATTTTATTCAACAATCATAGCAGCAAAATTTTCAAAAGAAATCCAAAAATCATTTGGCAAAGCAAAAATGTTTTTATTTAATGTTTGGAATCGTCTTTTTGGTCATCGCTCCATGCGCATGAGACCTAAAATGTGATTGGATGGTTGATGTTACGTGATCATGGTGATGTCAAACAGTGAACATAAACAAAAAACTACATGACTTTTAACGGTTTTGCGGTGTGACTACACAGGTTTTGCATGGTATTGTGAACATTGTGCAAGTCATAACATTTCATTTCTTCAAACAATGTAGATGCAATATATGAGATGTCGTGTTATGGCATGAGACAGACATCAAAAAGATGGTTCAAAATGAGGACTTAATTTTGCATCGGACACTTGTACGTCGGTTGCCGCCAAAATGGATGACCACCAACATCTTCATAATGTTGAAGGCATGGTAGCAAAGTTCTGTATTTTCACAAATTTCAGAATGAAAAGGCACTTCAAATTGCCACACATTAACAAAATACACAAACATGGGCCTATTGTTTGGGAATTCAATGTATCAAATAAAGAAAGAAAAGAACACGCGGATTTCTTTCTGAGATTTCAAAATTCACTCCATAAAGACTACCGTGAACACAATTTCAGACCTTCGGTATAACATTCAGAGTCGGAAAAAAACATCAGAAGAAAAAAAAGTTATTCCAAATGCATGAGAAATAGAAATAGTATGTATAAAAATTGTGGAGAAAATGTCTTGGATTCAGTTAATTCATTTAAAGTTGGAACACAAAAAATATCCGGTTTAAATTTGTATCTTTTTTCAAACATAGGACTCAAATCTTCAGTTACCTGGTCGTTTTGAAAATGAACTCTTGGCATGAAGGTATATTATGAACTTGTGGACATACAACTGTATCAAATTTGCAAAGTACATGAAAATCTGCATATCAAAAGACAAAAGTGTGGCAAACACGTATCAACATTTCAAACTGTGTCATTGCTTTAGCAGAACATAATTCCTTCATAATAATGTTCTAGACACAATGAAAACAAGTCTGCATATTTCATTCCAAATCTGATTAAGTGCATAAAACAAAGAGAAAACCTGCAAAATTGTCAGTTTGGAACCAAGACAATAGCGGGTTTTCTTACAAAGTCGTAAGGAACATGAAATCTGAATGACTGGCAATGAGGATAGCCTCCCTTGTCAAGGTCGGGTAACTCGTGTAGTGGAAATACCGATTTGTAATGCACGCCGTGAAGTGACCAATGAAAAGAAACGAGTCAGCAATATTCCCTCTACGACATTCAAAATATTGCAAATACAATATGCAAGAACGTGGGTTTTTCAGAAATTCGGTTACATCAAAGGTACCTTTCATTTCAGCCTTATGCACAAATTTGAACAGTGTTGTAAAGGGAATATAATTAATACCTCTCGGTTAATTACGGCAAAGGTGGGATCCAATAATGAGATCTGTGAAAAATTCCTGATTTACAAATTTGACATACTTGGCGATTGTCATCGTGTATTGCTGTGAAAATCCTTTCAGTCACTATACCGCTAGATGTCACTGAAGAACTTGTTTAACCACGCCATCTATCGGAGCAAAATGGAAGCAACACAAACACAACTTTCCCAGACAAAAGAAAAGTTGTTGAATGAAAAACATAACGTTTCAATCAGATGGCATTAACGCTACCGAAAAACTCAGATCAACAGGCTATCACTACTGCTATAGTTTGAGATATTTCCATATTTTACTTCATAGCTGAATATTTCACCCTTCTTATCGACAGAAATTCAAATTATATATCCAGGTGTTATAATATATATAACGACTTAATTTAAAAAGTAAATGTGACAAAACAATCCAAAACACGAGTAATAAGCCTAACAAGCACAACAGATTATTGAAAACAAAAGAGAAAGATATAAGTGTTGAAGGGGAAAGCGGCATAACAATATAAAATGTACAGTATACGCTCTTCTACACACACATACCGCAACGCGGTATCCTTAAATATCAATGAGATCATTCGAAAACTTAAACTTGCTTTAGAATCGCAAGTGAAACGAACCATACACAAAGGAAACAACTCTGTACATGGCCAACTCTACAGTATTCTGTACAAACTGTGGCCGGTGGACACTGTAGGGAGCTTCAGCAACATTATTTGTTGGTAGTATGCAACAATGATGGAGTCACGTGATTACAGGCAACAGTTGCTGTAAAACCGAGGATGGTTAAAAAGACCTTGGTCTCAAGATGTAAAAAAACTTGAACGAATATTTAATTTGACTTTTGAATGCAATTGGGTTTCTCAATTACACCGAAGAACAAGATATCCAATATCGAAAGAAGCATTCGATACAAACATTAACATGCATATTTTGAAACATTTAACCACTTCTCAATGGCCTTTAGAACCCGTTTTACCAAAACTGAAATTATCATATACAGTAACCAAACCAGACAGTTTATTCGGTTTAATCAGTGTCCATTATTGAAAGGTGATATTCAAAACCAAATCCCCATAGTGTCTCATAAGTAAGGCACTTCAAAAGTCTCACAACAAACTGTGAACAGCTCTTGGCCACCTCAGGTGCCACAGAAACCCTTCCGAGTAAAAAGAAAATAACTTCCACTTTTCAAAAACTTGATGGGCTGAGGAGGGATATTAACGTTTATTCATGGGGATTTGGTTGCACGAAACAAATATAGGTAATATATTAAGTTCATCATTGTTGCTATGGTGATTGGCATCTACTAACATTTGGCACATGCATTTCGTAGCTAATACAAAGACACCTTGTTAATCCAAGTCTGCATTAACGAAGTACCATTGTACATGTAACCACCCAAACTACGGCTTTGATCTTTCCTCGAGATTATTGGGATAAAAAGCAAAAGGGCTTCAAAAATACATGTGTAGAAATTAACTTAAGCAAAAATTAATTCTTGTATTTGATGGAACAAAAAGTTAAAATGCAAAATAGTGACCTGAAACGCTGGAATATTACTATACAATTTGTAAATCTTGATGAAAAAATGGATCTAGCACAAACCTTAAGTTCTGTATATATTAATGGAATGTTTGGAGTATGTATACGCTAAAAAGACGCTATTGAGCAATTCATCCTAGTCTACGGTCATATACATAAACATTCCGAACTAACTCTCACTTATCTGGGTTTGCAGGGCATTACAGCTTTCATGTGTTACATCTCACGTGCACTTGCATCAAAAACACTTACAAACTACAGAATTTGCATCACAATTATCAAAGTTTCAAAAATGTTTCTCAACGTGCGGGACATCTAAAGGGGTGGTTTTTACTTTTACACAGAGATCAATATTGTTTGGTTTTGACTGGTGAATAAACACCGGTTCCAGGAAGGTCAAGATAGTCTGGATTTTCCAGGCATGAGTTATCTTTCTTTGACTAAACCATGCCGACATGACTGACAAGGTAAGTTTTCATGAATTACTATTCTGCCTTATAATTGACTGACTTGGTCCTTTAAAAATATGCTTCAGATAAGAAACATCTTTGGCTTTTTTAGCCTTTTGGCAAAAAAGCGATTTGAACCTGTCTATCATCATAGACAGCTAAACGGTACAACGAAAGATGAGTGAGTAGGGTTTAACGCTGCTTTGAACAGTATTCCAGTTATATCGCGGCATGTCAGCTTAATGTGGGAGGAAAGTCTCAACGTTTACCACTCTGCTGAAACCCACGAGCACGGGCATGGTGCTGACAAACCTGGAAACATAATCGGGGCTAACAGATTCGTATCTGGTGTGCCCACGGGACGTAACTCTGCACAGCGAATTGTAGCGCCGTATTCCACTAGTGACTAAAGACGAGCTGCATGTATCTAAGAACAAACATATACTTCTATATTGACTGAATGCTTAAACCAATTGTGTTGCATTTTATGAAATAGATTAGGCTACTGTGGGCACAATGATCAAAAGCAATAATTTATCACCTAATATTTCAACCTTGGTTCCATGTGTAGGTAGTATTAAAGTTAGGCTTGGTTTTGGACTAGATGAGCACTCATTGATGTTGATGAATAAAACATAACAGATAACCAAACATGGATGGATAAGCAGTTGTATAAAATAACACATGAGCCAAGATTCATTGCATCATTACTGGGTTAAGGTTGGTTGGTTGGTTTGTTGTTTTACGCCGCACTCAGCAATATTACAGCTATATGACGGCGGCCTGTAAAATAATCGAGTCAGGCCAGAGAATCCAGTGATTGATATCATGAGCATCGATCCACGCAATTGGGATCGATGACCAGCATCAACCAAGTCAGCGAGCCTGACCACCCGATCCCATTAGTCGCCTTTTACGACAAGCATAGTCGCCTTTAATGGTAAGCATGGGTTGCTGAAGACCTATTCTATCCCGGAGTTGACATGAAACTCGTTCTAACGTTATCGATCACAAACAAATATGTCCAAATCTTTCTCTTGTTCCACAAAGAACACCTCAATGACAATGAGTTTTGAAAGAATCGACTCATTAGCTGGTCCTCTAAACGTGAACAATATTATGCTGTCAATTATCAGTAATACCATTGGAAGCCATACCTTTTGACTAGAATCTTAAAATATATTTTTCTTTCTAGCACTCATTCGGTGATGACATGATTTCGTATGATCAATTTCCGGGAGTTTATAGTAGAAAGCCGGAAAAGTTTACCAATTTGGAAACTTCCGAATAAAAAATCTACATGAACATGAATATAATGCTTCTAGTTTCTTAATGCCCGCAACGGTCAATGGCCATGAAATGAGAAATATATGTCTAAATCAAAACAAAATCATTAACATGTGTCCAAAAATACAAAACTTGTGTCGTGAACATGCCGAGTCCTGCGCGCATCAAACTGCCAAACTATGTATTTTCAAAGTCCAAACGTATTCAACAACAAAATGGTAACGATGGTAATGAATCGAACACTTTCGGCGCTATGTACATCAATGGCGGAGTCACATGGTACCCATTTCCGGTGATGACGTAAGGGCACACTTCCGGTGTATGAGATCAGTGACAGCGCCTCGGGAAACCGCGAAAGGTCCTCCATTGTAAATCGTCAAAAAAGTTCCATACAAAAATAGTCCATTTCAATAGTCATTGCATAGCACCCCTTTCACAAAGAACCGGACAATTCCGGTTTTAAACCAGAATGCTCCGACCTCAACTGGGCCCGGACGGATCTTCCGTGTCTGTCCTTGCTTCCATGGATCCGAAGAAGAGGCTCCGTAAACTCGTCCATACGGTCATGTACGCCGGCCTTGCTCCCGGGAAAGAGGCAGCCTCGCCTTCAAAATTCTCAGCAACCGGATACTGTAAAACGGAAGGAGGAGTTTTAGTTTAATGTTAACACTCGAATCTCAGAATCTCTACGTGTATTGGTGTTGGTGCTCCTATGGGCTATTTTAATTGCTCTTGCTTGAGTTAGTATGGTTTTACACCACTTTCTAGCATGTTCCAACAATGCCACGTTAGAGGACGCTAGAAGTTAATTTTACACATTGTACCATGCATGTGGGGAATCGAACCCGATAGACAAATTCGGACACTTCTTCGATTCAATTTCTAACCCGTGTCACAAATCCATCACGACCTTAAGACTATCGGAGTGGAAACATAAGACCTACGACAGTCGTAACGCTACGGTCGAATTTTCAGTACTGATCCGGAAGTGCTACTCGTGTTTGATAATATATCCCCGTACTGAATAGAAAGTAGACTTCTGATTGGTCACCAAAACTCACCATACAAAACAATACCTCAGCCTGGTTAACATGGCAGTGTAGCGCCAGCGCAGCATACCCAGGTAAACAGGCTGAACAAAACCTAAATATTACCGTCACTATTTTGAATAAACTTTCTGTTTTACACGCAGAGTACATTACGAGCACTGTGATAATACTGATACAAAGCTAAATACTGCCACATAAATCTTTTGGTTTGTGCGTGACTTGTTTCGTTCGGGCACGGTAGCAGGAAAAAGTTACTCGGTGCAAACTTATTAAAGTTTCTTACGATGAGATCAGTCATTTCCTGTCCAATTTGTTAGGCGTATGTATTGGTCAAGGGAGTGTCAAGGGGCTAAGAGAGCATAGGGATTTAGAGATAAATATGCTACGATACCCGGCCTCAAGTGATCTTTTCTAAAAAAATAAGATGATATTTTTTAATTTGTCATCCTGCATATTTAGCGCCATAAATATATGGTAATTACAACAGTGTGTCGCTTCAATTAGTGTACAAGAGGGAAAGCCTTCGCGTAAATTGTACACAGAAATATACTTTGTTAATAGGCTAATGACACATTGTTTAGAATGAAACTATCTTCCCATCTTTACGGACGACTGATATATGTATACAGGTAGGTCCTCAAAAACATCGGACATAATAAAGAGGTATTTAACTATTCATTATCACTCTATCACTGTGAATTTAAAAAATCGAAAGTCCAACAAAAAAGGGACGTATTAGAGAATTAGATTTCTTTAATATATTCTGCTATGGCCATCGTTGATCAATGTTTCAAGTAAGTCTCTGTTCATAGATCCCCTCTTTGCGTCACACTGTGCCACTAGTGGACCTAACACGATGAGGATGATTAACAGGGAGAAAAGTGGCATCGCAATTCACTGCGCAGAGTTGCGCCCCTTAGCCCCACTGATAATCGTTTGAATCCCACATTCGCCCGAATAACGGACCTTGTCAACTATTACGGTGGCAATAAAGGTGTAAATGAGGAAGTACAGTTAACCTCCGTTAATACAGATACCCAGCATTCCAGACAATTACTGATTGGAACGCATAAATAACACAATGTGTCTTTTTTCTGTACCCATGATTCGAAATTTTGGAAATTTGTAAATCCAGACAATTTCACAGAGAATGCTACAGATTAACGAGGTTAGATTATGCGTACATTCCACATTCAGTTTTCCCAAGCTCAAAGTGATAAACTAACTTATACACTAAGAACTGAAGGATAACCTCTGTTCTCGACCTGGCTGCAACAGTGTTAATTCGCGTACCCCAATGTAACGTGCCTCTTCTGGCCACGGATTTGTTTGGTGATCACGTTGTAAATAAACTGTCACGCATTCTCTCTTTGAACAGATACCAACAGGCGAGGGACTGTGACTGAATCACGTACAGGGTGTTGTTCTAATTATTTCCGCACTGGCATAAATAGATGTGTATGGGCTTAAGGAAACTGTAGAAAGGACGTTCTCGACGCACGAGTGGTATCACAACTATAACTGGCCACGTGTACACTGAGAAGTTCCGAATTATTACCGGTTGACACATATCCGCACACCGAGTCCAAAGTTCCACGTGTAAGATGATGAAGAATGATGTTATCATTACCCTAGTTTACACATTCTATTTGCAACTACATGTAGCATAACCATATATGAAACTCCGATCGTATAAACAACTATTAACCATAATAACATGCGGGGGTGGGTTGGTGAGTGAGACTGGATGTTTTGTAAGAGCCGAAAGAAAAGCAAACCTAAAAAACATCAATGTGTTTTTGTGGCAGATATTTTTCGAATTTTTTTAACAGTCGGAAACATTAATTTTTTTCAAGCATTTTCTGGGTCAATTTATTTTTTTCTACAAAATTGCATCCCCCCTTCCTCTCTGTATTCAGGAAGAACTCTTTGTGATATATAATACCACGCCATGACAGATTAACTATAGAAATATCGGGTGGTACTTTTGTAGTAGCATAAGTCGGGAAAGGTCTCCAATACCTCGGTCATAACGCCCACACAATCAAACTAAGACAATTTAGAAGCAGACAAAATGCGCTTACCAATCGCCTCCTCGATCCGTGGGTGGAGTTGAACTCGTCACTTATGCGGCGGAGTTCTCTCCCCATTTCAATTTCACGCTGTTGTCTGAGGGCTTGGACGTCTGGGAGGGACACAGAGCGATCCCGGGGGGTGGGGACAATGTCTGGCAGTGGGGCGTTGTCAGATTCAGCCTCCTGGGGGTCCTCCCCCTCTGAATAGTACCGCTGTCGCCTGTGAACTGGACCTGCAAAGGGAAATAACTCTCATCAGTCATCTAAGTTCAAACTGGGCGTAAATGTCCTGCTGGCCCGCGTAGCCATTAAACTATAACACTACCACCGGATTTCAAACGATGCACGATATTCTAAACAGTCTTCATATTGATTATGTTTACAAATAAAAAAAATGACGTGCGAGGAACGTTTAATTGTTACCAAGTGTGAATCAGTGATAGGTAATTATACTCGAAAACACCTGAAATCTCCATGATCAAATTCAGACTGGGTGAACATTGACTGAAGAACGGAGAACTGTTTGGAAAATCTGCCTCAAACCCTCAGAAACCAACTACTACCTGACAACACCAACCTAAGACACAGCTGATATGGGTCTATTGTAAATAGGTTCGGTTCGGGGTATTTTCATGTCACGCCCATAAATTGCATAACGTACATGTGTACTGATAAACACTATATATAAAACCCATGTCAATGGATACTCGTACAAAACCTAAAACTTCGTTAATCCGAACTCGGATACTGTGTGACTACGGATAAGGCAACATTCGAGGTCCCCAGGAAGTGGAGTTACCGATATTTTCGTACACATTCTCCTAGTTAGACTAGCTTAGCCCTTGGCCCTAAACATTTACGCAATGCGCAGTGCATTACACGAATTGAAAGATATTCTTGTGCGTTGTAATATACCCTAAATATAGTTCTAGGGGACAATGAACCACGCGTGCTTTATTGTGACATAGATTTGCTGGATCTATTACATATACACGAACACAATGCCGTAGTTTGATCGAAGAAGAGATAGACTCGCTACAATATATTTACGGAACGTATTTACGCTTCTGTGCTTGATAACAATATACAGTAACTATTTTTATTTTCATTTTATCCTGGCTAGGCCGATGAACAGTAATTTGTGTCTCTGGTACTTTTATATATGGGTCGTCAGCTTTAACCTTTTGAAAATCTATGACGCTAAACAAGTTTGTGTCAGTCAGCGCGTTGCTCTTTCAGGACCCCGGTGCCATTAAGTGGTGGTCGGACAGCCTAGTCAGTTTGTCCTTCTAGCTGGTGATATGGGTTACGATTCCCGGAATAATTCCCATATACATATACACCTTTTAAACTATTGTAAATCCGAAAAGATGATACCTTGTGAATACAGAGGCCCCCGTACCACACTGTAACCGCACCGATAACCCTGGTAGTCCGGACGGTCAAAGCAAAATAGTCAGGATTGACAAAGGTACTGGTACAGAGCACCGCCCCTTTTGATGTATGAGTCCGCTCCTGACAATAGTTGTCCGGAAAAAGGGGGCTCCGGACTGACAAGGGTTAAGTGTAGGAGTAATTAGGTTTAATACCATGTAACTGTATGCGTGTCACGCGATTGATGGATGAAATATGAATGCTATACTGCCGATCAAAACCCATGAAATCGAAGTATAACATGTGTAATAGCTGTTGACCTTTAAAAAACACCTCGCATCGTCATTATTTACTTAAATGAATTGACAAATTGTTTAATATCACAAATCAGTAGACACTTGACGCTTTAATTGCACATTTAAAAGAAAGATATTACTAAAAGAATGTCCCTTCTTTAATGGAAGCGTAAGAGCGCATTGCATTTCAAGTGATTTACTATGAACACCGTGTTAATCTAACTCAAAACACTGAATTTTCAAGCGGAGCACGTGAAAGAATACGGTATCATCAAACCTTATTAGATGAATAAATGATGATGATGCACGTGCAGGTGGGTGATAACATCAAGCCAAAACGGTATATTTAATGAGATATTTAAATCATACACGCAATTGTCAAATGAACCCCACAACAATAAATTAATAGTTCTACAGTTTTATATTCTTTGAAATTCGATCTGAAATATATATAACTGTACGTGATGACATTTTACATTACAGTGAAAGAGAAAATCGCATAAATAGGAAGTTACTGAGTAATGGTATATCTTATTTAAATAACATTTCTTAACTCAATTGTACATACTTAGGGCTGTGTCTTTGGCCTAAGAATATCTGCCCCCTCTTTGTAATGGTATGTCACAATAATAAACTGAAGTTTATTTGTGACTTTTATTAATAAATTATTCGAAGAAAATCGACTATACCATTCCCCTGTTCCTGGTATTTTGAGCACCAACTAACATATATACAATTACAAATGCTTTCTAAACACGGCACTCTATTCATAACAGAAGTATTTATTCACCAGCATTTGAATCAAATTCATTGCATTTGAGCAACCATAACGAGTTATTCTAAGTATATGCAAAATATTGACTGTGTGTTTACAACCGTACAGCTCCAGGTTACTACGTTCTCACGCCATGCCACGAGAGCTCCTAACAGAGCACCAGCTGTTCCGGAGCTCCACACGCGACGGCAATGTATATCTTTCTGCCACAATTTCTTTTCAAAACAGTCATTATGGCTCGTTGTACAAGTTTGATTACGTTTGGAGTAAATTCAGTTCCATTAGCCCTTGAGCCGAGAATGAAACCATTTCACATTCATAATATACTTGTAAAACGGTTATGTTAACATTGCCACAGTCAGATAATGTGTGCATACTACTGGTTTATTACCGGGATGACCAAGTGCATATCACCCGCAGTCAGCAGAGCGAAGTATTGTCAAATGTAAAACTATATTCTAAAAATAACTATTGTGTAACTATACAGTTACAATAAACAAAGGAGACTAGTGACGAATAATAACAAAACCATGAGGACAGCAAACAAATTGTTCATAATTGAAAACGTTTTAAGTTCGTCGAGCTTTTACTACACAAACAGCACGCAATGACTCCAACCCATTCTGCATCGTCTTCCTGACTACCCGTGCTGCGTGGAGCTGTTATCTGTGCATCGTTAGAACAAATGTCATGGATGAAATGTCAACTGAACAAAATGTGGAAATAAACATCAGTTAGAAGACATTTCAAGGCCAGGCGAACTGCGGGGACAACCAGGAGGCAGACACGCGCATGCACAACTCGCCTATGGCGCGCTTGCAGACTGAGGCTATATTTAGCGCTGACGAGGCGAACCTATATGGACCGTGACCCAACGAGCGAGGGTTGGGTCACCGCCATCCAAAACACGGGCGTGGCCTAATTTGGCGGTGACAAATTTTGTTCGAGCTGTTATTCTCGCTGCTGGTTGTTAAACAGTTTGAGTTTTGCACAATCACCTTATCCACCTCCCGTTCTGTAATTGTTTGTACAATTAACATTATACTGACTGACTGAGTATGGTTTTACGCCGCTTTTAGCAATATTCCAGCAATATCACGGCGGGGGACACCAGAAATGGGCTTCACACATTGTACCCATGTCGGGAATCGAACCCGGGTCTTCGGCGTGACGAGCGAACGCTTTAACCACTGGGCTACCCGACCGCCCCTAACATTATACACCGGGATATCTGCGCACAATGTAAGGCGGATATTAAAATATTGAAACGAACATGTTGACGCAGAGAAGTTTAATCTGCTCTAATCTAAGTTCACGACTTGACAAATCAATGCCTGTGTTTATCAAAGGCCTGTCCTACCATGGATCGAATGGCGATAAAGAGGGTGGTCTATAAATATATCTTACTTCTTATCAGTAAGACTTGTCGTCAACATTTACATAAGCTATGATAGGGCATCAGAGATTTCAAGGCGTGATTGACCGACAACACTACATACACGACAACATTTAATTGTGTCAAAACACTTCATTGCGTGGACAGAAAAGTGTTTGGCACTGGGCCAGTGAGACACGTGATATCCGCCACGTGCTACGTAGAATAATAAGACATATATTAACTCATATAGTCATAATGAACCATTGAAAGTTAGTATTTGTATTAATGATGAATTCACAATTTTAACCTAAATAACCGGAATCAAAGGTTCAAGTCTAACGATTTAATTCGATGTCAGAAAATTCCGCTTTTGTCATTATCCTATTAAACGATCAGCCATGTGTATGTTTCTGGTTGTTTTCATAACCTTCACCACGCACTCATTGAATACAATCCGAACCAGGGGGCCTATATTTGACAACTGATTCTTTTACAGAAACAAATAAAAACCACAGTGTGATGTAAACCGTTATTAGCCTTCAGTAACAATAAGGGAATTATATGTGTAATTATCTCTACTTGCCATGATTACTACAAATAATTAACATTGATAGTATTGAAAAGTTATGTGTGACTCTGTATCGCTCTTTCTCAAAGGAAACAATGAAACTCATTTAACGTATTGCAATCTGGTGTTTGTGTAAACACTTGACATACACATAATGTAGCATCCTGATATTTGTTATTTGTTTACATCAGTTAATACGATCGGGCTACTTTAATCCACGCGAATCACCCAAAGAGTATCGGAAACCGGAATCACGTAAACGATAGAACTCTAAAAGTCGTTTCCTTTCATTGTGTAATGGCCGATTTAGCGCAGCCATTTTCTGCACGTTATCTCTCCGGTTGTGGACAATACGCATTTCACGTACCCTAATTTTGAACAACGTCGCGTGGAGCTCAGATTTCCCTATGTATGTGATCCCAGTTGTTAAACACACGATAAAAATAAGTTCTCTAGACACCGCCGCTAACCACAGACATTTCCGCACACGAGTCATTGACCGGATGGCTAAAAAGTCTAGAAAGTTTCTGATTTAGATTTATTGTCCATTTAGCCGACGTTCTCAGTGTTTCATCTTTCAGTTTGCTCCGTTTGCTAAATCAACATTAAAGTGAAGTCAGATTAAATGTCAAAATATTAAGATTGATTATTTTGCCAAACTGTAGGAACATTGAAGGAGCAGATTGGATATAAATAGAGCATGATTAATGCCATTAAGCCTGTAATTTGTCATTTTAGTATTTTTCTCCTTATTCGATGTAATTAGTCACGCTTGTTTTTAATACATACAATTTGTTCATATTCTTATTCTTATTCTAAACATTTCCGTTCAGTACGATCGGGCAAGCGTTCACAGCAATAGGAAGCGCTGTCAATGGATAGAGCGAATCGAGTTGTCTCCCTTTAGCAACACTTTTTCTTATCGTTTATGCATACTCCAAGAACAATGAATTACACACTACGTCTGGCTTCCCATTATCCTTCAAACACGAATAAACACTTCACACAAACTGGCCCATAAAACGCCACGCGAAACTAATCAAGTAGAGAAAATGTTACCCATATGTAGGAGTACGAGTGTCAGTATGGCTGTTTCTAGGGCTACTACTTGCCGATGGAATTCTATCTAGAAATATTGATCGCATGACACAATTTTAGCACATTAGATAATAACCCAGACAGCTTTAATGCTCGGTTTCTTTTTGTAGCCGAGCATCGCAATCTATGCGCTTAACGAAAACCTCGACAAATCTGCCAGTAGCACTTATGGCGATGGCAACCGCCTATCGCGGCTAATGTATATAGAGCAGAGATATCTAGCCCACTGGGTCAAGGTAGGCATTGCTGTATGTATAGATTTATCATAACATTGTACACGGATCAAATATATATGATTGCTACTGGCTCGCGGAACTGCCTGTTAAAGTCGCATACAAATATCATTATTCCGACCAATGTGTCGACATGAGGTAACTATTAACATATCCGATATCGGGTATACCTATGAGGAGTACCTTTTATAATTCCAAATGCCAGATGGCGAGACTAAAGTATGTTGTAAATAACTGAAGACAATACTACCATCAAATACAAGCGTATGAATCAGATTCTAAAAATATATCACATATCTAAAACATTAAAACGGATACTACAGGTTACAATATCTCTTATACAAGTATAAGGACAAGTATATCTTACCTTGGGCTGTCAAGGGTAAGGGTGTTTCCAGATACTGAATGAGCAGACGACAATGTTCGTGAGGAGTCTGGGTTCCGACATTCCTTCCGTGAGACCCAGGCACTCTCATAGGGATAGGCATTGAAAACGGCACTACCCTCCCGTGGACGGGTGGGGCTGGGTCGACATGTCTGAAAGCTTCGGAACGATGTCTATATATTTGCACAGATGAACTGTCTTCCTCGGGTAATTCCGATTCCTCCGGGCCAGGTGAAAACGGGCTATCGCGAAAAGCTGAGTCATTGTCTTCGTCTTCGTTCTCTAAAAGAATTGGATCGAATGGGGAACAGCCCTCTGCTGTGTCCGACTCAGATCCCCCAACCGCGCCACGTAAACCCCCTTGTTGTAATCGTCCTCTCGTGGCGACTTCAAACGTAAACTGTTGATGACCAGAATACGAAGCTGGTGAAGTGTCCGTTAGATATCCACTGTCCCTTTTTTGAGAACGAGGGGTACTGGTACTAAACGGCCCAAAACCCGCACTATGGTGTCTCTTCCTCCCATTACTCCCCGGCACAGGAAAGGTAGGATCCTCATCCATCTCGTCTTGGTTATTAAAATCCATATTCCATTTGAAATCGTCACGCTGTCTCTTGTATTTATCTCACTATAATAAAAAGGAACCAGAAAATATAGTTCAGCAGCTGTGACACCAAAAGTACTGGATGTGCCAAATGTTTACAATGTGACGAAATCCATGAAAAAATTGTCAACAAAACTCATGAGTCGATTATCTGTGATGATCCTCCGATGACACGTGGTACTGTTTTTCAAAAAAGTTCTTGCGGCGGTAATTAACGTGTTGAAACATCGCCGTCCCAATGCAGTCTCGTTCGATCGATCTAAAGCCCTGTCTTTTAAGTCGGCCACCTAGACTAATTTAGCGTCTTACTCTCATGATATTTCCTATGACAGGTCACCCGTGCGATATCAGAGCTAGTCCGCAATCACGAGAAGCAGGAAAACCCATCCTTGATATCAGCTGGCTGACTTCCAGTGTTTTGTTAAACAAAGACTAGTAAGGCGACTAACCAATCATAACTTATGCTTACTGGTGACCAATCTGTTGTGTTAACGTTGCTCTGTGACCTTTTCATTTCTTACTTAGCGTACGATGCATGGGGTGCATTCGTGCACACTATAAGTGACTTTGGTGTGTTCAGATATGCTACTCCATCTGTACTATAACAGTAACCACCGTGGCGAAGAGCGTTATTGTTATGAATGACGCCCACGGACGCACAAGACCATCTCCAGGAACCTGTTCCAAACCAAACATAAACAAACCAACGTGACAGGCACGTTGCTCGTGTTTTCCCAGATAACCCCAACGCCACTGTGTAGCGTTGAGTGAGGTACAGAAATATTTCCTCATTAAACACGATGTCGGTTAGCTACGACTGGGAAACGGAGACAAGTCATTCATTCAGTGTACTCACCTATTGCTTCAAAGCTGAAGTCTACACGTTTTCGCGCCTGCTGTACATGTGTGAATATAAGTATTGGAATCTGTTTTGATGCATGATGTCATCATCACCTCAAAGCGAGGCTACCAATCACAGCATCCTATTTTTGCGTGCCCTGACAAGCTTCCCCACGACTCTGTTGCTACTCGGTCCCTGCTCGGGAAAGCCCCTCTCTTGGAATTCCCCGCTGTAGTGTCCTACAATATTTTTATAGGCAGTTGTTGCACTAATCTGTCTCCTTGGTGAAACTCAGATCACACTGTCGATGAATTTGCCTTTTTTCGTCTTGCTAGAACGTTATCATTCTGGGGAATCGTCGACGAGCATGCGGTTTTGTTTACAATCGTGCACAGAACACGCCCTTTTTACCACCTGACCCCGTGCAAATTTGCATACGAGAAAGTGCGAGATGACAGCAGTAATGGCGGGCGCTTTGGTTCGTGTATCCCACACTCGCTTGTAGATGCGGCGCTCAGCGGAGTTCTGTTATGTTTTGCAAGCCTGATCCGTGTGTAACTATACTGTGACATTCTGATTGTTAAGACCTGAATACAATTATACGAAAATATCTTCGCGTTTTCAAAGCAAGCCCTATATGACTGCATTGTTTACATTTATTCCGCGTAAACGTCTTTCCTGAGAAAATGTCAACAAAAGAGCATAACGACATCTCGAGTTAAAAATTATCATGATTAAGTATGTTTTATACGAAACCAGAATGTCCCATTTCCCAGCAAGCTTTGTCATAGTGATAGTGTCAGCTAAGATAACGCTCCAAAGAAGACATTTAATCAGAAATGAGCAGGCTTCACTAGGCTATATGCACATGGCGTTACTCTATTCCGAGAACATTTTATCAAGAGGATCAAGACAGCGCAAATGTTTTTTTGTAGCATACCCTATCTATTGCTATTGATGCTAGTAGCTATACTGTCTTAAAGCGCACATGTGTAAACCACAAATATCTACTCGTCCTTATGATACCTTGACTAATGGTCAGTTTGGCAAGGACTACAGGGCTAGTGCCAATTTCTAACGTTGGTGGTATAGTATGGCCTTTTATTATCTCAAATAACAAGAAACATTTTGCATAGGACATATTTATTAGGTTAGTAAGCGTTTGCCACTGCAATCCATTATAAATAAGCTACCGCAATAATATAGTGTACCATGCTATCTTCAGAATCAGGAATGAGAATATGGCACATTTCAGTTTAAATATTTATGTAATATAAAAGTAGAAAAAAGTACATTACCGGTATGAAATCAAAACTAGTAGTATGTTTTTACAACAATGACTTACTGAGACATTAGTTATTGTTTTCAAGGACTATAGGGTATTATGTTGACACAATCATGGTGGTAAACATGATACTGTTGACATTGATATATCTGCAATAGTAAGGTTATAATATTTTTCATAATTAATCTGAAAAACACTTGGAGGCCACTTGATACATATTATTTCTGAGGCATTTGCAAACTTGTGCAAAAGTGACTGAATTGTATGTACAAACCTTAACTTCATCCTTTCATAATTTTGTGCAGAGGGGTAACCAAGTGGTTAACACCATTACCATTCACCAAAGGCTTGGGTTTGATTCCCCACATGGGTACAAGATGTAAAGTCCATTCTTGGTCCCTACCGTCTTGAATATGACGAAAATGTGTGTAAAACACTAACCTAAATTATACACTCCATATTCATCTGAAGCCATTGCTCCCATTTAAGACAAACTGCCATCATAATCCTTCCAGTGACAACTTTTCCTGACATGTCTATGTACAAATATCACTACTATTTCCTTTGTCCCAGATCCAGTCATGACAGTGTCGTGGCTCCACCAAAAACCCACATTGGGGCCTACATGACTGGTGGTCTGAAGGACCTCTATCACAGAATCATCAGGGGCAAGGTTTTACAAACTCCAGGTAATATGTTCATGCTAATTTTGTGTTAGAAGCCACCTACCATATCATACTCATAGGACCATTGAGAGTTTGACTCCGCTACGTTCAGCTGATTTGGATGGGAGTTGAGTCAGAAGCAGTCTGCAACTTAAACCACTATTCTGAAACTCAAGTCTAGTACAAATCCCATCTATCTAATATGCTCAGCTCATAATAGCCTATATATTTAAATGAATAGCTATTAATAATGTGGCCAATAGTTCAGGCTAGTAGATGCACAAGTTCTTACACAGACTGCAGAAGTAACTTGTGCAATTCCGCAGGTGGCCCAGTCATCTATTCGGTGTGCAGTGTTGTGTCCCTTCGGCATGCCAGAAATCTTTGATTGTGGTTTTAAATCATGGTTTGCCCAAATTATATGTCTAGGTTTGTCAGCCATATGACCTTGTGAGGGGGTTTCACCAAATCGGTAAAGGTCTGCGATCTGCATCACTTCTGGCGGTCATATTAAGCTGACTTACTGTGATATAACCTGAATCGTGTTAAAAGTGACTCTAAACCTCACTCGCTCATAGCCTCCGGGTATTGGTGTTTTCTGTCATCATTCTATTTAAACTTTAAAAAGACATCCAAGTAGTAGTTACTTATTGCACCCTTTTACCTTCTTTTACAATTTTGTTCTTTAACATTACATCATCTTTCTGAGTTGACCTAAGTTTACAAAATGTGGTGTATATTGGGAGTCGAACCCAGGCCCCAGTAACTGTTTCTGTCCCCATAGTACTATTTGATAGAATTTGCAGAGTATCACATGTCTGCCTTCATCAGAAACATATTCCACCATTTCAGATGGTGAGGCACACACTAACGAGAAAGGCCATTTTTGGCCAGGACATGATGGTCCGGTGGTTCTGGCGCAACGTTATCACATAACAGAAGTCCTCAACACCCGTGGCCAGTCTGCAGTGCTTGTCTTTGCTGAGGTATGTATCTACACTACATTTTCAGCATGTTCAGGAGTACATGGTTGGCCCTGTGGTCTAATACGCTGCAATTCACTGTGCAGAGTTGCATCCCTTAGCAATGTCTGGATTGGCTTCTTTGGTATGAGTCCTAGGTTTGCCCTAATTATGGTGCTTTATGCACACCTTGCCTGCACCTGTGAGTTGCACTAAAATGGTATCGGTAAATGTCCGGGATGTGCATTATGATTACCGTGAACATTTTTCTCAGAATATATTCAAGGGGCACTGGTGACCTAGTCATCTAAGGCGCTGCAATTCGCTGTGCAGAGTTGTGTCCCCTGGGTGCGCCAGAAACCTATGATCGTGGGCTCGAATCCTGGTTCCCCATGATTATGTTTTTAGGTCTGATAGCACCATACCCTTGCTCGTTGGTTTCACCAAAGTGGTAAAGAGTCCTGCGTTACTTCAGTCTTTTCTCCCAAATTAATGGATCGGGTGGTCAGGCTTAGTAACCTGGTTGAAGGTACTAAATGTCCCCCGACGAGGTTGATCGTTGGTGGTAATATCAATCCCTGGATTGTCTGGTCCAGACTTGATTATATACAGGATGTCGTCATGTCACTGGAATATTGCTGAGTGCTGCATTACACAACAAACACACACAAACAGTTGAGTTAAATGATGTCAGACCTCATGCACTCTCACTTAACATGTTCAACAATATTCCCCCAATATGGTTGGGTGTCCAAATTAGTTGAAAGTCACCGGATCATAACCTTCGTTTGACAAATTTGTAAAATTTGGGGTCTCCAGGTAATAGAGGTACCGTTTGGTAAGGATATTGAATTTGACTTGGTGAAACATCACTTTCTGTGAGTTGTATCACCAAACAATTGGGAGCAATGTGTCTTCTTGCAGATGGTGCTATTGAAACCACATCAATAGCATCTTTCCCTCAAGACAACTGATGCACAGAATATTACAAAAACAAAAATACTATTTACATGACCAGACATGCCAAATATCAAACCAATTTCTTGTATATGTCCAACTGCAATATCAATAACAGGAATACGTTATGAGTGTTTTTGAAGAGATTTGAGGCAAACAATCTTTTATAGGTTAAACATGTTAAAGAATTATTTGATGTTATAATAATATGTCTTGTTATCTGAGGCAATTAATTATTCATAGACTTAAATTACTCTTCTCAAACAGTTTCATTAGGTTTTGGCATTTAACACTATCTCTTTATGTTGCTGAATACCATTAATCATATTTTCAGGGCGTCATCTGGTGTCCCCCGCCGTGATATTGCTGGAATATTGCAAAAAGCGGCGTAAAATCAAACTCACTCACTCACTCATTCAGGGCGTCGTGATTTTTATACCCCCGACCTGTAAGTTAGTGTAACTTTATTACTCACTCACTAATGTTTTTTTCCCTTTGTCAAAATTTCAAGAGGCAAACAAAGAGGCCAGGGACTATTCTTCACCTTCACACTCATCACAGAGGCCGATTTCTCAATTCATGTTAATATATTAAACTAGATAATTCTTATGAATACCCTACCTCTATTACATCATAGCCATAAATTCCTGTTTGTGCTGAGAACCACTCTACAATTTTTTTTAAAAATTTTCAACAGACGTCCTCTTCATTGCCAACATATCTAATAGTTGTGAGGGAAATCCTATACCTCATGAGAGATGCAACTGCACATGTGCAAGGTGGGAACAGCTCACTTCTTTCCAGTGTGTCAAGTTGACAACAAGGAAACATTTTTGTTTGATGCATCTGCACTTGAGATTGCTGTTCAACACTATACAAATCACACTAGATCATCACAAGCTTCACTAAAGACAAGCAGTGAGCAGTTCTACAGCAGAGAACAGGGGTATAAGAAGGCAAAAGTCTCAAGTAAATAAACAGTTTAGAGAACATGTTGTTGGATGAGGACTTCATCCCAAGAAAAGCACTTGCACACAAAAATCAAGGAGCAGTTATTGTGAACCTCTGTCCAAGGAGAATTTTGAGGACCTTTCTAAGGCATGGCACAATGATCCTGATTATCACAAGAACACTAGAGCGTCAGCTAAGACATCTTCATCTGTTTCCTGTTAAAAAGGGAAAGTGATTCAGTCCGTTGTGGCATTCATCAAGGAGAATCACTTGGGTGACAAGCAAGTGTCGCATGGGAGAGATCTTGTTGCTCATCCCACTCTCCCAATACAGTTAAGGAGCCGATGTACCTTTCGGGTTTTAAAGCAACCAGTCACATACATCCGAAAACGTCTGGTAAGGTGGACCATCTAGGCTTGGAAGCAACCAATCTCCATCCTATGCCACATTTCCCCTGTAACTTAAATGAGTTCATGGAAAAGATAACCACTTCCATGTCTGAAATGATTGACAAACATATGCAGTCTACGCTCATGAAAGTTTACCTCTAGAATCCATTGCACAACACAAGACTCAAAAGAGATCTAAGGCTGAGCATCCTTACACACTAGACACTCATGCAGTCAAGCTGAATCAGCATATTATGAGGACAGTAGGAGAGTGATAAAAAGACATTGAGAGTCTCATAGATCCCCTCCCTACCACTCACATCATAGATCATCTAGCCACTATTATGATAGACGAGTGGACAATAGATCTCATGCACATCATGATAGGTCTCCCTGGCGTGCTCCCTCTCATTCTGTTTCACAGTCCAGTTATATGGGCGGGGATAGCAAAGTGGATGTTACGTCACAATCCCATGTGCTTTCCGCTCCTCGAGCCACATATCAGATATACCAGGATTACACTACCCCTAGCCATATTTCCTCTCCCCAGCACAGCCTGATCAGGAGGTGCGGATCCACAGCTAACACGATTTCTTCAAACAACTGGGACTCTATCATGGAGGATAATTACGAACCAAATAAGTATTCTATTAAAGACATCATTGCAGAGCATAATAATTTGATGCCAGCTTTAAGAAGATGAACGGTCAACCAAATCCTTGTTGGAACGTGCTTGGTATGAAAAAATGAATTTCATACCCTTCCCTGCTCGTCATACCTTGATGACGTCATCAAGAACATCGAAGCATCTGTGAATGTTTCTTCGGCACATAATATCAGACTCAGTATGCCCTTGATTTATAAGAATGCTTACAAGACATACGATGCTACTTTCGAACTACAGCCTAAGATTGATGACGATTTTTATGAACTCACTACAATCTCACTGGCATCCAAGATCCAGAAATGGCCTGCAGATTTCCAGCATCAACAACAGAATCCTAAATCTTGTCATGTGAACTTTGGTTGGGATTCTTTTCAAGCCTCTACATGGAAGGACAGATCGTTTCGCCCCAGGAACAAGAACTCCAAAGATGACCATCCCACTTCACAAAGAGGTAGAGGCAAAAGGGGCTTTCCGAGGTGGATCCCTACTGACATTACCTGCCCATTGGACAACGATTTAGGACACCAGATTATCAACGCTACACCCACATCGAATCCTTGTGGACATTGATCAAAGACTGCCAAAGTTCAGCACTACCCCTACACCAGGACCAGTCGGCATCCCTGTCCTTCGACGAATATCTTCACAAACCGTACATTGTTGCCTCAGATGTGCAGGGATTGTCGCCAGAAGACCCGCCAGACCTCCCATTTTGACAGGAAACCACCGTCAAGCACGTCTACAGTGGTGCAGACAGTGTCTATGCTGGACAGCCATGCAGTGGGGACAAGTTCTATTCACTGACGAGTCTCGTTTTCACCTCAGCCACAGCGATGGACGGATTCGAGTGTACCGACGTCGAGGTGAACGTTACGTCAATCATTGTGTCATGGAAGAAGATTGGTTCGGGGGCGGCAGAGTTATGGTATGGGGTGGGATTACAGCAAGACAGAGGACCCGTTTGATAGTGGTAGAGGGAAATCTCAATGGACAAGCACAACCACGATGAGATCATCGGCCCTGTTGATCTACCGTTTTTGCATGGTCATGGCCCAGGGATTACCTTTCAACATGACAATGCCCGGCCTCATATTGCTTGACTTGTTCAGGATTCTCTTCAACAAAACAACGTGAATGTCATCCCCTGGCAGGCTCCCTCCCCTGATCTCTCACCAATCGAGCACATGTGGGATGAGATGGATCCGCGCCTTTGACGTCAACCAATGTGTTCCACAGACACTCCAGGAACTTCAAAACATGCTCCAGCTGATATGGACAGATATCCCACAGGACTTTGTGTGACACCTGGTCCATTCCATAAGACGAAGATGTGTTGCTTGCATGGCAACCAGAGGTGGACATACACGCTATTGATTTGTAAATTGACATTTTGGCATGTTCATGTTTTTTAATGAAATCACACATTTTCTGAAGTCAGTATGGCAAATTAAACCATTTGAACACTTACAGGAGTCTTTTATCTGTTGCAAACCGAAATTGTTTCAGATTTGGTAAAAAACATAACTTTGCATTCAATCTTATTCAATATCACAAGAACTTTTGTTGTTCAGTATATGTAGTGTGGTTCTCTGCATAAACAGGACCGATAAAGAGGAAGAGGTTTTAATGCTTAGTCTCATGTCATTGAAAGCAATCTCAAAATACAATTTTGAAATACCTCTGAATTTAAGTAAATAAGACTTTTTCAATCCTCATATTGAACTAAATGACATACTAATTTACCTGCCAGGGGCACTTAGATTCTTTTTACATAGTCATGTTATAAATTGCAAAACCAGTATTTTTGATCAAACTCTTTCATTTTTTATACTTTTGACACATTGTGAATCATCTCATTCCTGAATCACAATCAGATACAAAAAATTAAGAACAATATCTAGTTGACAAATGTCTGTGAGAAACATAAATCTCCAGTGAAGATTGACAGGGGAAGGGAAGTAACTCTTTGATCAAGAAACAATCTAAGGAGCAGTGTGCAGTGGTCAGAATGAAGTTACAACTGTTACAAGTTTCTTACCAGTTCATGACCGCCATTGACT